CAACTGGTGTGAGGAATCGATATTAGGTTTATTTTTCCGGATTTAAAAAGGAAGCAAAAGATACCTAAAAATACGATTAAAAGTTCGGAGAAAATGTTTGTAATGCGTTTTTAAAAGAAAAAATGCCGTAGATTTTTTTGTTCGCTAATTACGCCATTAAACCGCCGAATAAAAATCTCTCGTTTTTTCTTTTTCGTGTCAAAGAACTTAACTGTGATCAATTTTTCCCAAAACTTTGTAATCGCCTATTTTTGTAAAACGAAACAACCCCATTTGCACAGATGGAAATCCGGACTATAAACTAACAGCTATTACACCAAGATCGAAGGGCCTGGCACAGCTGCGCTCGCCACATCAGAACATTCCAGTAACATCACTAACTAGGGATACCCATGCTGATAGCCCGAATGGTCCTGGTATTGCAGTAAGATACTGCAGACATAAAAAAAACAATGAAATGAATTTCGGGACTGCTAGTTAATCCCGAGCGATGCAACATCGGAAAAAGCAACTGGAAAAGAAAACACCTAAAAGTGAGAAACATAAAGAGAAACATAAAACATAACAACATAAAAAACACAAAAAAACTAAACATAAAAGCATAAGAAAACACCTCCTCATTTCTCTCCTACAACTTCTTGTCTCAATAATCACTACATTTTATTTGTTATATAATAATTTATGTCACAATCATTTATACTGTCAAGGCGAAACTGCGGCTCCAGGTTAAGAGCTATGCAACTTAATGGACCGAAACAGCTTAATCTCAGCTAAGCTATTATTTCATTGCAAGTAATATAAGTTTTAAAATTTTTTATATTTTCAAAATATCTACTCAACGAATTGCTTCACAGTCCCACTTCGACATAATAAATAATTAAGTAGGTTTCAACTTCTGCTTTTCATGCTCATTTATATTAAATACACCCAATTAAACAACAACACAACCGTTGTACTGACGAGGTCCAGTTGCGCTGTTGAATAAGAATTTATACGACTTAATGGACCGAAACATTCCCATCCAATTAATTTTAATATTAATTCAATATTACTAAAACTTTTTTTAAAAGTTTTCATACATACCACCGGTGAAAATCTTCATTAGCCTTTAATAATAAATAAGTATTGTCAGCTGAATAGCTGGAAGACCATGCTATGATTCCAGCTGATCCATGTAATTTAAAACCAATGCAAAAAATCGCAAAAAAAAAGATAACTGACAAATCTGATAGACAAAAGTTTCTGAAATCGATACATGCAATTCCAACAGCTAATTGCAAGAACAGAAGTTGACCATGAAGCAAATGTAGCGTGCTTGCTACTACTACTACTTCAAACACCTGATGCTATGCTATTAGCTTTGTTGTTAGTGCTTGTGCAAAGCAAAAATTCCAAGGATTAGAGGCTGAAAAACACAGCAACAATATTCACAGACGCTAACAGCGCCCTGCCCTTGGATCTGGGTGCACAAGACGTGTCTGTATGTGCCTGTCTGTACGTTTGTGTGAGTGTGTGTGCGTGTGTGTGTTGCATGTGTATCCGCATTTGTGAATGCATAATATGTTGCCATGCTCTACGTCTAAAACTTAGCTATCTCTATCAATATTGATAAAG